GGACTAAATCGAACCTAAATAAAAAAATCAATAAAAAATTTTAATATTTTCATATAATGTTTAATTAATAAAAAAGTGAATTTAAGTGAATCAAGATATAGAAAATAATAATAAAAAATAATATTATTAAAACGTTTTGTTTTATTAGTTCACCACATTCCGAAACATCTCTACCAAATAAATAGTTTCTATTAAGTTCCGAAAATTTTAATAATTTTTTCTTTTAGTTCGAAGAGTACTTCTAAAACTGAAGTACAAATGATTTTAAACCGCATATAAAAATTTGAATCTTTTCAAAAAAAAATCTATAAAATAAAAAAGTTATAAAAGCCTTCGGCAATAAACAGAGACAGTTTGCTATCACATATATATTAAAATATTGAAAAAATGATCATATTTTTGATTAGAAACAAGGTTTGAATTATTTTTTGCAGTACTTTCTACTCAGCTGTCTGAGTAGAAAATTTTCTCACATAAAATTTCTTCTATCAGAAGAGTGTGTTCACATATCGATGAACAAGTTTTAAAAAATGTATTATTGATCAATTTAAATTACATTTTTATCAATGGAAATATTTGTTTTGTTTTACTAATCAATGGTTAAAATCGTATCCTCAAACCACTCATCTGAATCACATCAAAAATGTTTGTGATTTAAATTCCTAATATTATATCTAGGGCCTTTATGGTTGGTTATCAATAATATTTATAAATAAATTAAAAACCTATTTTACATTAACGAAGATATTACATAATTTTGAGAAGGATGTATTTAAAATATTAATTACATTAACTATGTACAGAGGTTTTTGAACAGTAATGAACTACAACAACAAAAATTCATTTTTTTTTATTTTAATTAATTGAATTTTTGACTGTCCTGTTTCGAGTATTGCCAAATACCCATCATCAGTGGTATCGGAAATAATTCTTATATTTAATTATTCGTAAATAATTTTTTTTTTTTTGTTTTTGAGGCTGCAATTACAAAGTATTGAACTCGTGCCCTGCCAAATTTTAAGCTCAGAGTTAACGCACTTTACCCAACTGACCCAAAGCCGTATTTGACTTTTATGTTCGCACATTTTTGTGCCGATTTTGTTACTAGGCTGTGGAAATTTTCTTAACAAATTCACTTGCTGTGTTTATATTGGAACGAAATCATAAATCAGCTGTAGAATAATTGAATTAATTATTTATAATTTTTTATTTTTTATTTTTAAATTTCAATGCTATTCTGTTTGTAGAATTATGTAGTAATTATGTGCCAAATTTTGCTAAAGGTTTTATTATTTTTCTGCTAATTAAAAATTATTCTGGAAAACATTTGGGAGACAATAATGACTTGAAATCGAAATGACAGAAGTTTGTGACATTTTCAATATTAACTTTTGTTTTGATAGCACATCAAGCTGTGAACGTCATTAGATAATATTACGTTCTCGTATATTCACCATAGCAACAGAAATCACAGTGGCTACTTTTTCAACGCAGAATGCACAAGTGGCAACTCCTAATTCATTTTTCAGTGCTACTGTTTGTTGATGGAGTTAACTTCATCCAGAAAAAAAATGAGTTTAGTGATAGCAACTTACATGTATTCTTATTCGCTTTAACGATTATGTTCCCCTCGAAAAAAAAGTAGCACTAAATGCAAGTTTAAATTTGCTTTAAATAGTTGCAAAAACGCATGGAAACCTTATTGTTCTCGATAATGGCAACGATAATACAATGATTATGATAATAATAATTATATTTACTTCTTAGTTTTTCTGGTCTCGTTTTCATATGAGTATTGCTCAATGCATTTGCGTTACTCGTTATTCCTTTTTTTATGCTTCGTAAAGAACAATGTTTTATGAGAGACTGCCATTGTTGTCATCATCATCATCATCATCATCATCATCATCATCATCATCATTACCGTCTTCATCATCACAGCTGTTGTTGTTGTTGCAAAGAAAAGTAAATTTTTCTCAGCTATTGCGCTTTTTGTTGGTTGCTCTTCCTATTACTACTTCAAAAAACTTGAAATTTCTTAACGTCTGCAACAGTTTTTCTATAATTTTTTATTTAATTTTTGTGCAGGATTTATTTTATTTTCTTTTATATTTATATACATATACATACATACATATGTATATATTGTATATAAATGTTGGTTGATGCAAGTATGAGCTTTAGAGAAGAGCTCACATAAAATTATGTTCTTGTAGGTTTTGCAAAGCCCAAGTTTTTTTGAAGGTTATTTTTTTTTTAATGTAAATGATCGGATTTCTGTTATTATATATGTACATACATATGTGAATATATACATTTATATGACATTTTAACTTTGTACATACCTATATACTGATTAGACATTTTATGACCCATCATTCAATGTACAAGAACTATTGTCAGCACATTGCGAAAATACACTGCAATCGAAAATATGGTAGTCGTTCAAGTTAACGAAAGGATTTGTAGTAAATCGAATTGCAAATATGGCAGTCGTTCAATTTAACGAAAGGTATTTTGTGAAATCGAATAAATACTTTAAAAAAAAATAGGCATTTTATTAGTTTATAGTTAACTTCTTTTGAAAGTACTTAAATTCGTCTAATTGTTCTCTTTCATTAATTTATATGTTTTTGTAGATATTGTAAGATGATTTTTTGTGATGTACATTAATTTCTGTACGCTGCCATAGTATAGTAGCCTTATTCCTACTGCTTACTTAGTAAGTTCGTTAAGTGACTAAGATTTTACTTATTTCATGTGAAAGAGATTTTTTGTGTCAGTGTCAGAAAGTTCTTTGAGAGTTCTAAGAGAGCTTTTGTTTGTTTTAATAAACTTTACTTAATAATATAATTACTTGATAATTAATATAATTAATAATATAATTACATATTTGCCGTCGTTATATTTTGCGATTTTGAAATCTAACATTACCACGAAGTTTTTTTTATATAAAATACGCAAACTATTACACAAATCTATCTGCGATAAAAGCTGTTGTACCTCAAGGGAGTGTACTCGGTCCAGTACTATACCTGCTTTACACTATGGATTTGCCTATAACAACACCTGTAAGTAAAATTTTAACATTTGCAGATGATATTGCAATTTTTTCGATTGCTGACTCCGTTGAAGAATCAATAGCCAAATTACAAACAGTTAAAGATCGTTAGACAATTGGACAAAAAGATGGCATATGAAACTGAATTCTGCTAAATCTGTTCATGTTGATTTTATAAATAAAAAAAATACAATACATAAAAAATCCTATTTCTGAGATACCATATGCCAACACTGCAAAATATCTTGGCATAACGTTGGACGCAAAATTTAGATAGAACGAACATATAAAAAAGAAACGAGATGAGATTGATATGCAGTTGTGAAAAATGGAATGACTGATTGGCCACAAATCCACAATATCTATGCAAAACAAGATTTTATTATATAATCAAATTTTAAAACCTGTATGATCATATGGCGCTGAATTAGTGGGGAGCGCTAACCAAAGTACAGTCGAAATACTTCAACGTTTCTCCAGAACAAGGTTCTAGGGAACATTTTAAAAGCACCATCGTACATTAGGAACAGCGATATACATAGCGATCTAAAATTGTCCACAGTCGCTGAAGAAATTAAAAAGAAAGCAACATATCAAAAACTGAGGTTCTGTGTATGTAAGAAGCCATTAACATCATAACCTCATATGGACAACCAAGACGACTAAAACGGCGAAATGTCGCTGACATGGCATCGAATTAGATTGTAGAGTAATTTGTTAAGAAAATTGCTTATTTATGTACTTATATTATTAATCAGATACAAGTTACTCGTTTATAATGTAAATAAAAAACGAGTAACGAGTAGTTAATAAAAAATAAAAATAAAAACTTAATAATATATCACACAAAAAATTAAATATATAATTGAGATATTAAATCATTTATATATGTAAATATTTTATATATCCATTACATTATTATTTATTATTTAAGTCATAGGCTATCAAAGCACCCCGACCTAAAAGATCTATTGTGCGCCTAAAGGCCCAACTAGGACAATTTTAGACTATTTATAAATCTTGTAATTGCTGTGGGCTTAATTTTACCTATTTGACTTGGGACTAAGATCTCGCTTCCAAGGTAGTCGAGTCTACGTCTTGCCACCGCTGGAAATTAATTTTTAATGGCTACATTCGACATTTTGCCTTAAATGAGCTAATTTATTGATAATGACCTCATTTATATGAAAGAATTTTGTATGGTAAATTATTCTCATTAGTGGCTATAATGAGCAAAACCACCTAAATGAGACATTGTGAATGCACGGAAAAGCATTCACAAAAAGCACGGAAGATCTTTGTATGGTTAATGACATTTATTTAATAAGTTAAACTTATTAAGTAAACAGTAAAAATATAATATTAAGGGTTAAACAGAATTCTTTCGGGCTATTTTTTTCTTATACTAGTTTTTTAATTTTTGAGTATTATATATAACAATTGCATTATCCGTTGTAAAAAATAGTCAATGATAGAATTTTATTGATTGAATAATTCTTCACTATGTCAATACCCAATACCCAAAACATCGAGTGAATGGATTATCGACAATACAGTCCTGATTTTCTACCCAATGGTTGTTTATTCTCACACATCAGAGACCAACCATTTTTATCACCAAAAGAATCTAATTGATGTGTTTAAAACTAATATTGTTGAACGTCTCAAACGGTATGTAGAAAATAATATGATAAACTAAGCGAACGCAGGTAGTACTGAGTAGATCATTACGAAGATTATGTCAAACAATTTTTTAATATGTTTAGAGTATACTATATATAGTGGTGACATTGGCATGTCTTTTCTGTCTTAGAAAGACAATTTTTGCAATAAAATTCAAGTAATAATTTTGATTAATAATATTATTTATATATAGAATAAGAAATATAAAATTTCTTAGATTTAATTAATTAATTTCTTAATTTTGTAAATATTTTAGCAAACTTGCGTCGTTTGATGGTAAGAAGGCTATACGTGGTGGTATTCCATTTGTGTTCCGTAAGTATTAAATAAAATTTATTTTTTAATTGAATTTTCTTAATACACATATTGAAATATTTTTAACTTTTTATTAAATATAGCGATGTTTGGTCCATGGTCCTTTGGCCCACAACACGGATTCGCACGTATCACTCGTTGGCAACTAGAAAGACCGCCAGAACGTTTACACAATGGTGACATAGAAGCTATTTTTTCGTTATCGGATAACGAATTTACACGTTCTATGTGGAACTATCAGTTAGTTGTTATGGCATAAAATTTTAATTTACAATTGAAAATATGTGTCTTATTTGTAGATTTCAAATAACTTATCGTTTAATTTTACGAGAAAAAGAATTACATTTTCATATTGGGGTCTATAATCCTAGTAAGGACTTGTCTTTTTCATTTAATATGTTACTACATACTTACTTGAAAGTTCCTGATGTTCGTCGATGCCAAATTACTGGATTGCACGGCTGCACTTTTATTGACAAAGTTATAACTTTAAAAATATATATATATTTCATAAAATTAATATTTCAACCTTTTAGACGAGAGACGGTACTGTATATCAGGAAGGCCGAGAAGTTGTTACAGTAGGTGAATGGACTGATCGTGTGTACCATAATACACCACAAGAACATATTATTACAAATGTTGTTTCTGGTAGAAAAATGAGATTACAAAAGTATAATTTACCTGATACTGGTAAGTGATAAAACAACGAGTAATATAAGTAAATATATTAAGTAAATTATATGGAGTTTTTTTTTAAATGAAGCAGACATTAAATACTCAGCAAAAGTTAAGAAAGTTTCACTAAATCAAATTTATGAATTATAAATACAAATAAAAATTAAGCTTAACTAATTAAATAAGAATTGATTCATTGCTCCTAAAAGCAAGCAAAACATGTACCATACGGAAATTCTTACAAACTCCGTCTTATTGTAGGGTGCATGCCTGCAATGGACAACAATAGAATACACACACAAAGTTTCTTGCTATTGCTTGCAATCTTGCTATACCTAAACGCATGTATGTCAATATACTTGCAACGAAACAAAAAAAAAAAGACAACAGTTGTTTTACATGTGTTGCTTCTCATGTGGATGTGGTATGTTGTAAAAACAGCTGTTTCGTATGGATGTTGCAATTCTTTAACACAGGTGTTCTCGGACTCTTGCACTTTTAGTAAAACGTTCTTGCATTTCATTCACCTTGCAATTATTTTGCAAGACAGACTGGATACTCCTCATGAGTATTCTTTTATTTTTAATTTTTTCTTGAGTAAATATAGCAAATATCATATTGAATAGTAATTTGCTATGCTACAGTTAATCACAGAAGAAGGTTACAAACTTACCTCCACGATCTCGTGGTCCAATGTAAATCCACATAAATTTTTAAAATCATTACTAAAACTTCGCAAATTAAGATTGTTTATAATTATGTTATGTGGTAGACATATAACAATGATATTCGTTATTTATTCTCTATCATAACTAATCAAATTGTTTAGTCCGTCATTAGCATGCACATCTCTGTCTTAACCCAATTTACGTAAATAATAAATTTTGTATTTAGGTGAATATTAGTGTTTGCTTCAGGTAAAATGCCACATATATAAATATAATTTAGTATTATAAAATTACATATAGTTTCGTATTATAAAATTATATATAATTTCGTTTTATTAAATTATATATAATTTTGTATTATTAAAGTTGTATAAGTAAAAAACGTGCATGTTTTTGTAGTCATTTGGAATCCGTGGATAGATCAAGCCAGAGAAATCAATGATTTTGGAGATGACGAGTTTCCCAATATGCTCTGCGTAGAGTCAGGACATGTTTCAACGCCAGTTATTTTATTACCAGGAACAGTATATGAAGCCAGTCAAATATTGCAAGTATGTTGCGTATTTATAAAAATTATTTTTGTTATAAAATTATAATTTTATTCTAAAAATAATAGGATAAAATATATTTAATATATGGAGCTAAATTCATATCTAGTATACTAGTATATGACTTAGCGTTTTTAAATGATTATAATTTAAAAATCTAGTGCTATAGTAATATAAAAGTTATTATTACTATATTAAACTTATACATTTAGTCATATATATATATATATATATATATAGGACGTTTTAAAAATTGTTACTAAAGACGACATGATGTCTTAGGAATCGTGTGCTATAGTCATCTCTTTTCCTCATGTACTTTCAAAATTTTATGCATGTGCAAAATAAAGGTGGAGCTATTGAGTCTAAAGTTACGTCGAATAAATATTAGTAATAACTTTTATTTTAAACTTGTTAGAAATTATATCAAAATATTTTAATGCATAAACTAAGTTTATGGCAATCAATTTTTTTCCTTGACAGATTTAAAAGCGGAGGATATAAATATTGAGCAATATATATGCTAATAAGTATTTTAATAAGTACATTTCGTGATCATTTTTGATCACTTCAGATTCCTCCAGAACTATGCATGAATTCATCAAAGACCAGCCAACATTTTTAGTGAAATTCTTATAATTATGATTAAGTACCATTAAAAATTACTTTATCATACTCTAAATAAGCATTTGGTTACCGAAAAGTGTGTACAAGGTTTCTGCACAAGTTAACTGAAGACTAAAAATTAAAAATCAAAAAATTATCTATGGAAGGTTTTGGGACTAAAAACCATATGTTACTGTCAACCACTCTCCATATTTACCTTATTAGGCACTGTGCGGCTTTTACTTTTTAAAAAAAAAAATGTGCATATATGCTGGTAAAAGGAAAGTAATTTCTGTTCGTAGGTACAATCCAAAAGACTTATACCGATATCCTGAGTAACGATGACTTTAGACACAATTATAGTGCTTCTATTCGTCCATGAAATTTCGAGAGTACTTCAGTAAGGGATCGTTTTAGCGACGCGTTTGAATTGTCTTCACGTTTAGTAACATTTCTAAAAAGTCTTGTAATTGGATCTGTTACCCTTAAATTTTGTATATTACGAGTATATTAAATTTTATTTATTTTAATTTTAATCTATAATGAATATATAATTGTAATATTATTTTTATTCTTTTGTGGCAGTTTAACTACCTTAACGCCGAAGAGCAATCGATTTACGATAGAAGTTTTCCTACTATAATTGCCCAATTTTGTCAAGAATATAAATTACGACTACTTTAATAACTCAAGAACGAAAAATTTCAAGAAAGTTCAAAAATGTTTTTATTTTGTAATTTCTTTAATAAAATAAAATATTAAAATAATAAAAAAAACATTCTTGATAATTATAAAAACTTATTAAAACTTATTTTTTATAATTCGATAGATAATCATCGAGGGAAATGTTAGCAGAAAAACAAAGCGAAGTCGCTAGCGCCTAAAGAATCGGAACCCAATGAGGTAAACCGATTCTTTTACATACTCTAAAGTAAGAAGGAAAATATTATCCATAACGAAGTGAAACTGAACACAATTTTAAGGTTTACTTTTAAGCGAACAGCAATAACTTACGCAATGTAAGCAGATCCGAGTACATTATAAGATCTGTAAGCAGATCTTGACATTATTGAGCAATGAAACTGTTGATAAATATTTTTAAAATGTGATGTCTATCAGAAAACATTCCTCTACTACCAATAGGTATATTTTCAATTTAAGCACAAAACTAGAGTATGTAAAATTATTTTGATATTAATTTTAATTATTTTTATAATTTGTACTCAAACAAGATTTTATTTCCAAGGTCTTATAAACTATATTACGTATATGTATTATATAATGATGTATGTATGTATATAATCAGTTTTAGTTAATTGTATAGGTTTTGTCTTTTTTATTTTGGCTACTGATTATGGTGCTAGTTTTATTTTCTATTATTTTTTCGATTACTGTTGTTTGGCATATTTGACGATAAGTAGGCTGGTTGAGGTAATTCCAAAGTTGGCATGTATAGGTTCTGTAGCGATATTGAAACCGATAGTGAAACAGGAAACTTAAAGTTGCAATAAATTCGTGCTAGGCTATATATTCTATATTGGAGCACAGGAATATTATACGTTCTTATACATTCTGATCTGCCCATAGGACTCGCTCTATAATTTTTTATTTGATGTTTATTGCATTTGCAGCTTTTATTTTCCTCTGTTAGAACTATTTCTTTCGCTTTAAGCAAACATAGACGTGTTGAAATTCTCAAAATATCATCATTAAACTCTCTTTATAAGAAGTCAATGTATTTTTAATCGAAAGAGCTACAGCAACTTTTAATACCTTGTGCGCTTTATAATTCCTTTATGTTGTTGATGTTGTTGTAGCTTATAGAAATCTATTAGCAGGAAACATAAGTGGATTTATAAGACGAGTATTTGATTAAGTTAGGTGTCAGTAATGGCGAGGAAAACTAAACGATCGTGTGGGACGAGGTAGGCATTAGAGTAATAAATACTAAAACTATTCTTGGTCAATGTTTAATGACCCCAATAATTTCTTTATTGTTTGTTTTATTAAAGCAGATCTCTACATTGTCATATAAATATACATTTGATAAATATGGTAAGATAGTCAATCTCTTTATTACATTTAACATATTTTAGCTCTGAACCAAAAACACAAAGCTTCATTTTGTTATGTTTTAAACACGTAAATAATTATGTGCAATCTAGTTATGCTCAAAGCTAACTTTGTTGCAAAGATATTTTTAGCTTGTTAGACTTGCAATTCTTAATTTTACATACAAATTAAAAAACTATAAATATGAAATAGTTTTATAGTTGTTATGTCATGTTCCCACGTGTCTGATTTAGGCAGTTTTGGTTATTAAGGGCGCTACTGAGGATAATTTACCATACAAAAAGCTTTCATATAAATGAGCTCATTATAAATAAATCAACTGAATTAAGGCCAAAAATGTCGAATGCAAACCTTAAAAATACATTTCCAACAAGGGAAATGATCAAAATTTGAAATATTTGTCATATGTTTTATATATTAAATGTAAACAAACAAACGATTTCACATGCATAAATCAACTTATGCCAATGGAAACGACCAAATCTTAATTTCATCAACACAAGTAGTTTTAGCTGCAGTGGAAACATGATGACCGGCACTGTTGTGTGAAAAGACGAGTAGTTACTAAACATAGATTTGACCGCTTCTGAAGTCTGAAGGTAAAGCATTAAGAAATTTGAACAGTATACAGATCAGCAAATCATTATGTTTTCGAACGACTTAAACAGATTTAATTTTTACATACATTTATTTAATATTTACATACATCTATTTAACCATTTAATGGAGAAGAGTTGGCCCAGTAATTGCTTTAAACCCTTATGCTGCAACACAGGTGAGAAATATACAAGTCAGTAGGCAGTTTTTTGCTTTTGCTTGATTTCGATAGATATGAAATATTTGCACAACTTTAGTTATTTAAAAGAAAACTCATGCCACAAAATAATTTAGCTTTTTGTTTCACTTCAATTATTCCATATTTTCTCCACAAATGTTAGTAGTTGGTTCTCAGTGCATACAATTCTTGATTAATTTTTTAGTCACTTGCCTAATAATGCTTCTATCGAGCATTAATTAATGCTTCTATCGAGCATTAATTAATGCTTCTATTTGCATCTTTTATCCTTTCAATTATAGATAGTCTGTCGAAATATTATTTTGTCTAGATAGCAGTCTTTGTCTTTGTTAGCTGTGAAAACGTCGATAATAGAACTTTTTCTCTTCCTTGATATTAGAGTGCAAAATTATTTGATAGAACATATTTGATTCTGGCACCTTTGAAGTGCATTAAGAACTTTCTATTGTGTTGTGAATGAGCACCAACTCGCTTCTCCTATTATAGACGAATCAGTTTTTATAAGTATTTCGCAATATTTTATTACTTTTGTGAATTATTTGTTGTTGTTTGATGATAGCTAAGACAATACTAAATAAAACTATGTATTTAAGTTTTTAAATAAAAAGTAAAAAGTAGACAAATAAATTTTTTATTTGATGTGCTCATATTGGTTGCTTTTGTTATGCACAACACTGTATATGCGTTACTACACATAAAACTCGGTTTAAATTTTATAACACATAAAATACTAGTTGAGTATTTTAGTGGTCAAAAGTAATCGGTTCAATATTTTTTTCCCTTACCATGAGCTCAAAATGAAAAACTTTGATCTAGTCTAATATGCTGACCCGGTAATAATCTAGGTGCTTACACTTACACTTAAGGCAAGCCAAAAGTTTTGTTTATTTATGTATGTTCTTTTAATAAAACATTACCATTTTAATCAAAAAGATTACCGTAAAATTTACACTAGCGCACAAAATACAAGCTTGTCAATGTATAAATATTTTAAATCGGATACTGACAAAATAAATGTGATAATTTATAAAATATTAAAAAAAATTGTTGATAATTATTTTATACTGTTTGTGCTTTTGAAATTTTTAGTTAATAAAATAATCAAACTTATATATTAGCATTGCTATTGATTCAAATCACACTTTTGTACTATATTCTTCTTCACCTAAAGTTATTTGTTTGTATAATATTTTCCAGATTTTTAACTTTATCCATTTATTATAATAATAGAAATACTAAAAATAAATAAATGAAAATGTAAAACTTAACGAATTCTCAATGAAATAGGTAAAATATATACATATATAAAAAAATCAAAAACTTTAATCAATTTTTTTTAGTAATATTAATTATTATACTTTAACCGTATATAAGTAAAAAGTTAATAGTATTTAATATATATACAAATATGTACATATATATATGTTTTAAATATATGTAATATATACATACTATATATATATATATATATATATATAATTATATATATTATATATATATTATATATTATATTTATATATATATATATTATTATATAATAATATAATATATATATATATAAATGTATATACACATAGCAAGAAAAGTGTACGGACACCCACAAAATTTTTCTTAAATTTCACATAACTTATTTAATTTTTACTCAAATTAATTTTTGTTTTCTGATTTATTTTAAACAAAGAAAGAACAATGAAGTCCAAACATAAAAATTAACAATTATTATTTAAAAAAATATTAAACACAATTATATGCAAAACCAACAATTTTTGAAGCAGAAAAAAGTCTACGGACACTTCTTAATATTTATATTAAAACAAAAAAATTTTTTCACAAAAATCTACAATTTAATAGCATGTGGGATAATCTCTGCGTTTAATAACCTCTTTTAGACGTCTTTACATGGACTCAACCAGCTGGCAGTATCCTGTGCGTTTATTTTTAGCCATTCTTCCTTGATGACGTTTCTTAACATATCCTTCCTGGAAATCGTGTGCTGGTGAATCTTATTTTCCAAACAAACCCACAGATATTCTATGGGATTAAGGTCTGGTGATTCTGGTAGTGTTTAAAGTTATCTGGGGGTATGGTTCAATAGCCAAATCCGTACGATCGCTACTGTATGCTTAGAGTCGTTGTCCTGCTGAAACCAAAAGGTTTCTTCAAGCCCTAACATTTTGTCATTTTCTTTCAAATTTCTTTTTATTTGTCCATTGTATTTTGTATAAATTCAAGTTTCCCAGCACCAATACTTGCTATATACCCCCAAACCATAACGCCTTTACAACCATATATCACCGTTGAAATTGCGTTTTATTTATCATTGACCGTACATGGTTTTCTTCACACAAGTTTTCTACCTTTGATTCTAAATATGCAGAATTAACTCTCTTGGAGAAAATAACTCATTTTCGGAACCCTGATCATTTTATTCTATTACATTTGGATATGTATGCCTTCTTTCTTGCAACCCGGGTATAATACATGCTTTTCTTTAAAATTTTCCGCACAGTATCAGGACATAATTTTGCATATAATTGTGTTAAATTTTTTTTTTAAGAAGAACTGTTAATTTTTTTTGTTTGGACTTTATTGTTGTTTCTTTGGTTAAAATTAAAATTAATTAAAAATTAATTAGAGTAAAAATTAAATAAGTTATGTGAAATTTAAGAAATATTTTGTGGGTGACCGCAGACTTTTTCTGCTGTGTGTATATATAATATTTATATGCGTGCGTAGAATGAAAAATAATATTGACAATTAAACATTTTACAAAAGCGCGAGTTTAACTTGAATTAAAATGTATTAAAATACAAAAATTTAAAAAAAAGGAAACTTCATTGAAAATACGCAATAATTTTATTTTAGCAAATAAGTCCAAAAAATATGTATACGATTTGCATAAGTAATTTTTACTAATTGATAGTTAATTTATATACATTTATATACAATTATAAATATAACTATATGTATTAAATTTGTGTTTATATTATTCAAAAATTAAAAAAGACATGAAAAAAAATCAAAAAAAAAAAGAATATTATTGAATCTAAAAATTTATATAAATAATTTTTGTTGAGCACATGCAAAACAATATTATTGTCAAAGCTGCTGGAATATGAATATACTGTGTGATATTTCTCAGAAAGACCACTTCCCCTGAGCCAAGAATTTTTCTAGCCTAACTGTTAAATTATTATTTAATATTATTTAGTTGATTCGAGAAATCCGGATTTCCAAACTGCAAGCCTACCCCTCACAACTTCGTCCTAGTGTTCAATTGTCTTATGGCAGGCATAAATGTGATCACAATTGATAGTAAAATCTTTGTCCCATAGAAA